AGGTGGCACGGAGGCGCCGCGGAACGAGCCCGCCCCGGGCCGGTACCGGCCGGGCTGCGCCGGCTCCTTCTCCGGGCCGGCAGCGCCGCCGGCCGGGAAAGGTGCGGAAGGGAGGACACAGGCGTGCCCGCCGCACCCCTGCGGGCTCTGTCTGCCGCTCCTCTGCTTTATTGACATAAATAGACAGCAACAAGTCAGACTGACCCGATACCCCTCTCCGTGTTCAAGGCCCTGCTGCAACGTGACCGATGCCGAGTCCCACCGCTCCCTCTGCTGCCCTGCAGCAGCAGCAGGAGCGTGAGCGCGGTCCTGCCAGCCCCTGACACCCACCACCCCCAGCCTTTTGTCTCCCGAGCAACAGGCATTAACTGCTGCTTGGAGTGCCAGGACCCTGTCCCGTGAACATGAAGCCAGCAGCAGCAGGGACAGGATTTCTGTCCAGGATGGCAGGGTGAAGAGCTCGGCTTCCCCTTTGTTGTGTGAAAAGCCACTCCACACCCCGCTTCCTATTCCTCAAGCCGCGGGACAGGGCAGCCCCCAAGGGAATAGTCCTTAAACCAGGTGTCCCATCACTGGCTGCACAGGTGCTGACAACAGGCAGAGACAGCCCTTCCCCTGCACCAAAGAGCAACCCAAATCCCTGCTCCTGTCCAAACCCCAAGGGAGAGGTCTCAGCTCCAGCACTGCTGGGTAAGTATTCTGCCCCTAGGCCACCCTGCAAAGCTTTAGTTCCCCGCTACCAGTGGGAAATGACAACTCAGTTCCAAGTCTTTTCAGCTGAGGGCAGCTGAGCACCATGAAAGGAGCCAGGAAGGCCACGGTAGAAGGGAGGCTCAGGAAGGAGTCTGAAAAGGAAAGGAGCCTCGAAGCTGGCCTGAGGAGTGCTCCCCACTGTGCAGGCCTCTGGCTGCCTCTCCCCACGGCTGACAGGCGAGAGGGGTCACTCCTGCATCAAGCTGTTGATCTTTGTGAGCAGCACATCCGTCTCAGACTCTGAGGAGACAGAAAAAACAGTCATTGTGGGCAGCCAGAATCCCGCAGCGACAGGCGGAGTAGCCTGAAAAGCAGGTTTGAGGATATTTGGGGAATGTGGGATTCCCTAGTGCTGTCCCACAGGGCTGCTTGTTAAGGGCAGGACAGGAGGAACTCCCTGGGCTGGGAATCCCTTCCCTTCCCCAGCCATCCCAAACCACTCAGTCACGTTTGGCTGGAGAAAGCTGCCTGCCTGTCAGGGAGAGTCCCACAGGCAGAGCCTGGCTCCAGGGGAGGGGAGCTCCCGTTCCATGCGCACTCACCCGCCGGCCGTCTTCTGTGGGAACATTTCCTAGGAGATGGAATAGGGTCAATGTTAGCATGCAAGTCTGGTCTCACCATTCCCTCCCCTGAGCTGCCAGCTGGAAGCTGTGGGGCCCCGCAGTCCCAGAAGGAACTGCTCTCAGTGCCTGCAGCACTGGTAAAAAGGAGCAGGACCAGGATCCCCCAGCCTCAGCCCACCGGGCCCTGGGGTGCAGAGTGGGTTAGGAAGTGTGAACTAAGGCATCCAGCAGCTTGAGGCAGGGTCAGGGCAGACTTTCAGCTGCAGCTTGGAGATGAAAGTTGCCTCCACACACTTCTGTCTTACTTAGCTAGACAGGAGAGGACACCTCCAGGATCTGAATCCAAAGAGGGGTGGCAGCAGGTTTGGGTCTGCACCAGCCACCCAGGGCACACTACAACCTCACCCAACAGGCCTGCCTCGGGATGGGGAAAGAGATCAAACATACTTCATCAAGACGAAGGCCCAGATGATGATAAGGAAGGAAACACAGTCTACAACGATCCAGATCATGAAGTATGTGCTGCTGGGCTGCAAGGCAACGAGACAAGCCATTGAACACCAGCTAGGGGTGGTGTGCTGTGCCACCAACCCCTTCTGAAGGGTCACATGTTCCCATGCCAGTACAGCAGCGAGCAGAAGTCACCCACCAGGCAGCTGCACAGGGCTCCTGCAGAAAGGGACCCACAAATGCCTGGGACAAGGGGGCTGTGGGGCAGGGTGAAGGGTCACTTACAAGCAGCCAGATGGGGTGTTTCATTTCCTTCAGCACCTGGCAGGCGTTGGTGGTGACAGAGCTCACCCCTGAGCACCACAGGACTGAGAAGAGCCAGGGCTGGTTCACCACATACAAGTTGACAGAGATGTTGTCCTGGCGGTACTGCCTGCGTGGGGACAGCCGTGGTCAGAGCAGACAGCAGGGTGCCACCACACTCTGCACAGCCAGAAGAGGCTGTGTATCTGGGATATGATCCAGCATTTGCAGCCTCATGGAGTGACTGTCTGGAGATCCAGACTGAGGGCAGATTTGCTGGCAGGGCAGAGGACTGCAGCCAGCTCCATCCTCTGCTCCAGCCCTTCCTGATAGGGACACTTGCTCACAAGGCACACACCCAGCTCTTCCTGGAAGCGCTCAGCACCCTCACCTCTGCTGGCCCCTGGGACAGTCCCCAGACCCCCACAACTCCCAGGTACTTGGACAAAGAGTTCTCACCTGATCTCCTCAGAGCTCATGTCCTGGTAGGGCAGATTGACGTGCAGCTCTGGCTCCTTCTCGTTCTCGAGTCTCTTCCGGCCATAGATGTGCTGGACACCTGGGGCCTGCTGTTTTACATCTTCCCTGAACCCATCTGGAAGCCAGAGGACCTAGACAAGAGCCAGAGAGCACATGCAGAGAAGAAGTGCTCCAAAAAGTTTGCTCTCTTTCCAATATTCCCTTGCATGTCCAGGTCCACACGGCCTGCTTAGACAGCTGCTTCCTGCCCCCCATCTCCACACTCAGCTCTTCCATGAGGATCTCAGCCAGGACAGTCCCCTAAGAGCTTGCCCCAGCCAAGAAATAAGCACAGGTCCTGCTGAAGGGAGAAACCAGTTCTAGCCTAGGAAATCTGCAAGAGTTAAGTCCTTTCAGGGTCCTTGAATGGCTCAAGTGAATCCATTCATCCCAAACTGCAGCAAGAATGCACCTTGGATCAGCACTACAGTAGAAGCCTTTTTTCTATGTCCCCTCCTGCTCTGCATTCCCATAAGGCCAAGAAAGGTGATTTGAGTGCTTTGTCCCCTGAGGGCAGCACATATCCTGTGCTGCAGGGGCTGGATGAAGCATAAAGGGAACACAGGAGGGTGAGCAGGAGTCCAAGAGCTGCAGGGAGAGGTGTGGTGGAGTGTGGGGAAGTGGAAGCCACAGCATTGTATTCCTGCTCATGCTGGCCGTGTTGGTCTCCTCCCTAGACTGAGTCATTGTTTACACACACACCAGGGTGGCCAGTGCTGGGAAAGTGAAGTATTTGGAGGGGTCTGAAGCTGTAGGCATTAAATCCTAATTACTGGCAACTTCTAGCTAGGGCACCCCACACGTGGGCAGGGCTGGCAGCAGGGACCAGTTGGTGTATGGGGTGTCAGTGTGGCTGGCAGGGCACCTCCCACCACGGCAGGGGTGTGACAGCAGGACCTGGCAGGGGTGGGGTGGTGACCAGCTCACCTGCTGCAGCGGGATGCCTGATTGTAAAATCACTCCCAGGGTGACGTTGACAAAGTTCTGGTAGTCACTGTGGTTCTCAGGCCGAAGGTCAAACATGATGGAGATGTTGCTCTGCTTGGCTGCCTCTAGAGCCTGTCCCAGGGACGGGATCCTCTGTTTAGCTGCCTCCTTGCGATCACCAGGGGAAAGACTCTGCACAGTGGGAAATGGTCTCCGCTGCAAGGGTGAGAGAGGGGCAGTCATCACAGGCACACCACCTGTAAACTTCCACATCCCAAACTGGTGCTGTCTCTGACCCTCAGTTTCCTACACCGGCCTCTCCATGTGCTCTCCAGAGCAAACAGGCACAGGGAACCTCCCTATGTACATCCATGGGCACCTCTACCCTTCTCCCCACTAACAACAGAATTCAAGCAGCCTCAACACCTGTGGGCATTCAAAGCTGCTCAGCAGTACTTAGTCACCTTTTGGGAAGAGCCTGGCCACAGCTGCCTTCAAGCCCAGGCAGGCTGTGCAGCTCAGAGCAAACAGGAGACATCCCCTCTCAAAGCAGCCTCCTCCATGACTCAGCTGAGGAGTCAGAACAAACCTCAGCTTGGGGCATAACTGCACCCAAGGGATTTGTGCAGCCCTCTGCACCCTGTCCAGGTGTCTGCTAGGACCAGTGCTCCAGAGGAAAAGTTCTGGAGCCCCAGGGCAGGGCTAATGCTTCACCAAAAATGAACCCATTCCTCACCAGCCACCCTAAGGATATTCCTGACCTCTAGAAACCAGCTGCCAGCATCCAGCTGCTGGAGGTCTGTCCAGTTGAAGGCAGTGCTGTTCAGGGCAGCCCTCTCAGGGAACACAGCCTGCACGTTGGTGGTCCTGGTGAGTTCCTCATCATGCATGAGGAATGGGACCCCATCAGCACTGGCAAAGGAGCACAGAAGAAAGCCATGTGTAGTAAGCTGTTTGTCTCCTACCCCTGCCCTGGCATTTCTACCCCCTCCCAGCCACCTGCTAAAGTAACCCCCACCCTAATTCTTGGCCCTTTACACCTAGAGACCAAGCCAGCAACCAAGCAGTTCCTTGCACTCTGAGAGCTGTCCCAGTAACAGGATTACATGCAATGAACTGGAGCCAGGGTCTGTTTTCCTCCCCTGATGTTGCCTCCCTCCCTGGAAGGCAATCTGTATGAGGAGGACAGAAACTCAGTACCTCCCCCAGATCATTGGGACACCAAGCTGGAGCCAGTCCCACACTGGGAGGGTGGGAGTGGCAGAGCCCTTTGAACAGGCTGCCTCCAAACGCAGGCTATTATCAGTCCTCCAGGTATCTTCCAGAATGCCCCCTGTGGGAGGTGACATCCCAGGATACACAGACCCCTTCCTCCCTCTGAGCCCCTTTACCTCACCATGACGTCTGTCTCAAAGACTTGCACATCGCATTCCACCGCCTTGTGGAGTGACATGAGGGTGTTCTCAGGGGCCAGCTGGAAAAAGGAATGATGTTAGTGCAGAGAGCACAGGCAGGATGGGGCAAGAGGCAGGCATTCATCCTGCCTGGATGCACCCAGCAGCTTGGCTAGGCTCTAGGGCAACCACAATGAGACTGGGGTGACCTGGGCATGGTGAGGGATGGAAAAGGACTGGGGATAGACAACCAGGGCCTGCCTTGTCCCTGCTCCCCACCCACTCTACACAGCCAGGCTTTCTGCTCAGAGTTGCATGCTCCTGGTGCTCAGGAAGCAGCTCTGTATTGCAGCTGCTGCATCCCCTCATTACCCTGTGTTCACCCATCCTCCAGGCCAGAGCTGCCTTGGCTGCAGTGGGGATACCATGTTCTAGGCTGGCCAGAGCTCACCCAGGCCTGTGACCACAAGGATCTGTGCCCCAGGCACAGCCTGGCTTTTCCTAGTGGAGCAGCCTGCCCCATCCACTCTGACCACTGCCAGGGTGCTGGTCACTCACCATGGGTGCTCCTCGATGGCCAACTAGGGCTGGCTTGGGGGGAAGCTGGTTCTCCTCCATGATGCAAGGGGAGGTGATTCCCAGGGGAGCCAGGTATAGTGCAATCATCGCTGCACAGTACACGAGCAGCAGAAACACCTTGAGACCTGCAGGCACAGACAGAAGTTGAAGGGGATGAGGTACAGAGGAAGCGTTTTGCAGGTCACTAGGAGTAAGCCAAGGCTGCTTCACCTGGCATTAACCTGTCATTGCCCTAGGTCAAACACTGCATCCACAGCCTCGGGAACACTGCGGATTTATTCTTGGCCCACCACATGCCCTTGCCCAACTCAGAACTTCTGGCAGCACTGCCACCTGCAGCCCTCCTTCAGCTGCAAAGCAGGGAGGGCTGAAGCTGCAACAAGGGCTGTTTGTGAGAAGCAACCAAGAGCAGGCATTACTACCCCGCTGGAGACCTGTTCCCACTGCACTGGTGCTCCCTGAGCACCACTCTGCCAACAGTGCTACTCAGCTGGGTGGAAGGAAGCAGGCACCAGCCAAGGGGACAAGTGGAGACCTTGGAGGGGGATTACCTGCACTGCGGGTGCGGTAGATGAAACTGGCCAGGGGCCAGGCAAGGAGCGTCATTCCCCCCACAGTTCCAATGTGCAGAAAAGGACCTGTTGCCTGGACAGGTAAAAAAACACAGGGTGTCAGCCAGGACCAGTCTCTGTCCCCAAAATACACATGGCTCCAGTGCCAGTGATCTGCCCCTGCAGCCAGTACTGCTGGAAGATCCACAGTGCCAGGGAGGGAGACACAGGCTCCTGGGGGACAGAACAGACACCCTGCTCTAGTCCAGCCAACATTCATCAGTCTGGCAGCTGCTCCAGGCAGGACTGCAGGGGCAGAAGGAGCACCTTACCTGGCAAGGCAGCAGAAGTCAAGGGAATTAACTGGGAATTAACCCCCAGTGCACACAGCTGTGCTGGGGGCTTCAGTGAGCACCCTTCAGCTCAACCCCACAGGCTGGGCACTGGGTACAGCGGGGGAGTCCCTGCCATGGAGGTGACTCACCTGCAGGGAGATACGAGCACTTTTCCACTCTTCTGCCCACTTTACTCCCAGCCCTGTGAAGGCTGCAGCCACCACCAGGGCAGTAAGGATCAGCAGGACCTGTGGGGCATGCACAGGGTAGTTAGGGGAGCACACAGCACCTTGCAGGCCAGGCAGAGTCCTCCTCATCCCTTCCTTATGAACCCCTGCAAGCCCTGATACCCCACTTTCCCCATCTGGGTTTGCAGCTGAGCTCTGCACTCAATGCTTTGAGCACTGGGAATGTTTCCATCCCAAAGACACGTGGCTGAGGAACTGCGAGCTGCAGCCCAGCTCAGCAGGCACTCAGTGGGGACACAGCAGCCTTATACAGCCCCATTAGGCTGGTCCCAGCTTCTGAAGGTGCAAGGGCAGCCAGGGCAGGCACCATCTCCCCACACCCCTAGTCTCTCACCTTGTGCACCCAGTGAAGCTTCAAGGGCTGGCCGCAGAGCTGCAAGCACAAAGCCAGGACCTGCAAGAGCAAGGAGCTGTCAGAGCTGGGCTGTACCCCCCACCCCTCATAGGGCACAGGACTCAGCCACAGAAGCTTGGCCTCCCATCACAGGCAGGGCTCTGGCCGTGCTCAGGCTCACCCGGCTCCTCCCAGCACAGGGCAGCCTGTGCTCAGCACAGATCCATCCCCCCCAGCCCAGCAGGATCAGGAGGGCTCACCAGCAGCACAGACGAGTAGCTGATCAGCACAGCTGTAGCTATGAGCAGGACCAGGGACCAGTCTAGCCACAGCTTCCTCTGCCTGAAGATGAACCTGCCAGCAAAGGGGAGAGTCAGAGGGGCAGGGGTGATGTGGGGAACAATGGATGTGGGATCCTACTCACTCGTTGAAGTTGTGGAAATCATTGAGGATGATGATAGCGAAGTAGAGCCACACCAACGTGAAGAGGAAGACACAGAAGAGGAAAATGAACCAGCTGCAGTCATACTGAAAGCCAGAGATGAGAGTTATACACACACCCTCAAGACACCTAGCCCCCAGCCAGGCTTCTGAGACCCCTGGGTATCACCCAGCCAGCAGCAGGGGTCACAGCAGGTACTGGCCCAGGGGTCCAGGCACTGAGCTGCCCCATGGAGAAGGGCCAGATCTACCCTGGCTGGCTCTTTTGTCTGGACCCTTCCTATAGAAAGATGGATAAGCATGTCCTACAACAAACTAAAAATCTGCCTAGGCCAGCCTGGGGAGGATAGCCCCTGTGGCAAGACTGCCTCCTTTCCCATGCAGCACTCCATGGGAACAGGCTGGGACTTTGGACAGAAGAAGGGGCAGGGAGCCAGGTCTCATTCCCTTCTAGCTGGATGATCTGTGGGTTGGGCAAAGAGGGGTGCATGGCCACAGAACTGCCACTGTAGTGGTGAGTCTGCAGACTGGGTCCAGCTACATTGTCCCCAGGCACTAGTCCCACGTGTGTGGGGGACGTGAGGGGTGCCACAGGTGCCAGAGGACACCTAGCAACCCAGGCTTATTTGTACATTCCAGGCAAGACAGGACAAGCAGCAGCAGGGCCACTCCCATGGGAGTTGGAGACCTCAGAAAATCCCAGGGCCTCACCACTCCCAGGTTACAAATTGCTGGGGACACCCTCCTGGTGGGGCTGCACCCAGCCCAGGAACTGTGTCTCCCACGTGCCTGGCCAGGTGCCCCAGGACCTGCTGCCACCTCAGCCCTAGGGCTCTGCTCTGCTCCAGGCACGTGCAAGAGCTGCAGATGCACACTAATGCTGCTCTACCCTTTCTGTCACCCAGGAGGAGCACAGCTCACACTCTCACCTCTCCAGGCTAGAGCAGTTCCTGGACAGTGAGGGTGCACCCCAGCTTTCCTGGGGCTCAGCCCTGGGTAGCAGGAGCAGCAAGAGGTCAGCAGATCACTGTCTGGGCTGAGCAACCCAGCCAGAGCCCTACCCCATCCCAACCACTGCTCTAAGACTCCCAAAAAGGGGCTCAGCATCACTCAGGTATCACCTTAGTGGTTCTCAGGCCCTTCCTCTTCTCCTTCTTGGCAGTGATCCACTGGCAGCTGTAGGGGCAGAGCAGGCAGGTGGCACAGGCAGAGCAGCAGCCAGGGGGGTCTGCCATAGCAGCAGACTGTCCCAGAGCGAGCAAAGGTCAGGTGTCCTGCGGAGGATACACACAGTGTGTTGGCACAGGCTGCCCAACACACCGCCCCACCCCGAGGGGATGGAGCACCGAAGCCTTTGTGTCCAGGTACCCTGGCAGGTGGCCCAGAGTGCTGGGACACTGTGGGGCTTCTGGTTGTGTCCCCAGGCAAGGCATGGTGCCAGGGGAAGAGGCAGCACAGGGTGCAGCCCAACCTGTTCAGCAGGCTGTGCTGGGACCCTTTAGCCAACAAGCTGCAGCAAGCCTGGAGCTGGCAGGGAACAGGGCCTGCTCCCCAGCCCAGGGTTCAGCATTCTGCCGGGGAGCCAGGACCACTGTGCAGGCTCCAGGGGCAAGCAGTCCTGCCAGTCAGCTTGACAGCAACACTGCACTCAGGCTTCACACCCGCAAGGACTGTCCAGCGCCATGCCACTGTCTGGGGCTCCTGCTTGCAGCTAGGGGTACATGAAACAGCCTTGGAAGTTCCCGTTCTGATCCCTGAGTACGGGTCCTTGCTGATGCAGCACCATCCTGGCAGCCCCTTAGCTCAACCTGCACACCAAGGAATCCCAAGTGTGGCTGGAGGAGCTGCAGCTGAGCAGGCACTGGATGGCATTGGTCCAAGTGCTTGTGAGGGAACCCATTTCTACAGTCACTGGTTCTGGGGGCAGGACCACCTCTGAGTTCCTCAAGCACTGGCAAGGGGAGAGAAAGCCAGGATGTTTTGCTGTGATCCCCAGATTCTTGGTGTTTGGCTGGAAGAAGCAGAGAGCCCAAAACAAGGTCTTCCTCAATCATCCAGAGAAATCCCATCTTTATTATTGCTTGTCGTGCCGCGGAGCGGCTCCTCCTCCCCACCCCACCCTCCCCAACAGGCCAGGCACACTATGCAACACTATCACCCTGCAGATTACGCCTGGCTCTAATTTCACTGAGGCAGGCATGAGAGCCAGCTGACCACATCCTACCAGCCACATCCTTCCCAATGTTGGAGGCAATGGTGTGCCTCCTAGAGCTGTGTCCCATTCCAACATGGGCCGTGGAGAGTGGGAGCAGAGCTAGTCCAAGTCCTCCCTGGCCCAGCCAGCCAGAGCAGAGCAGCTCTGCCATGCCCTGGCTGTGGCCAAGGTCAGCCTGGTCTCCCCCTGTAATCCCAACCTGTCACCTTGCTCCTAAATACCACCACTAAGGGGGTCTCCAGGGTGCAGAGTCCTCCCCAGCACCCATGCAGAGCACAGGGTCACGTACAGGCAGGTGCCACCCTGAGAACAGGACCCCAACCCTGGCCAGGCAGCTTCTGCAGGCTGGGGGATGTCCAGGGGCTGCCATCAGCAGGTCCAGCCGGCCAAGGCACAGAGGATGATGAACAGCGAAACAGAGCCCCACATCCCGCTGCCCACTCCATCGTGTAGGCACCGCACCAGCAGCTGTGACCCACTCAGTGATGGCACTGAAGGAGTCAGTCTTAACACAAGTACAGGAAGCCATGGGTCCAGATATTTTCCTTCCTGATGCCCAGGGGCTCTGTCTGCAGGCTCATGCCCCTGCTGTCACCAGAACCATGGTCACCACTTCCACCAGGCACCAGTGGGCTCAGGCAGCCTTCACTTGGAGTCACCCTGTCCCCTGTCACTGCTCACATGGGCAGAGCACTGGTGTCAGCAGCTCCTGGCAGGCTCCCACACAGGGTACACAGTAAGGAGGAGTGGCTGTGGGCACCAGCTGCAATTCAGCACTCAGCTGCTCCAAGGACCAGTTGCTGCCAAGACTGGAGCTTGGCAGAGAGTGGCACAGGACTGGTCACAAATCTGCCCCAGCGGTGCTGTCTGGAGGTTTTGGAGGGGAAATGCCACCCCGTTCTCCAGCTCAGAGTGCAGCATAGCATCAGCGGTTGTGGCACAACAGCCCTGTGCAGAGCACACATCCCAGACAGAGCAGGGATAGGCACACACCAGACCCTGCTCAGCTTCTGCTCCAGCGGGAGAGCAGCAGAGTGGATGCTGGGGGTCCATCATGGTTGGAAGGACCCCTCCTTTAGCTCCCACCAAACAACCCCCACGGCACACTCACAGCCCTAGTGTGCGAGGCACAGGGAGTCTGGAGGGGTGACAAACCCATGGCCACAGTCACCCGACACGGCAGCGTGTGCTGGCAGCCTCACAAGGGCCCCTGTGCCCCAGGGGGGCTCGCACAGGACAATCAGGTGGCCATATGCAGATCAAGAGGCCCTTGTGGAGGAGCCGAGCCAGCCCAGGCTGTGTCCCACCGGGCAGATCAGCAGGAGCTGGTGCCTAGCCCCGTTGTTCCCGTTCCTCGTAGGACGGAGACAGAACATGGGCTCTGCATGGGGCACAGCCTGACCCCAAAACAGCAAGAGCAGCACAGGCAGGCCCAGATCCCCCACTCCCGGTCTCATGCCCGGGCAGCCAGTCCTGGGCTCCCCGTTCCTGCTCTCCAGAGCGTGGGAACAACACGGGCAACCCCCCGTCCTTCCCCCCTCAGCTTCCCGCAGAGCCGGGATGATCACCCCCTCCCCGTGCTGCCCTGCCAGCTCTGGCGGCGCAGGACAGCATCCCCACGGCCGGGGCAGCCACCCCGGGACCAAATACCT